TTAAATATAACTGAGCGGTTTTTATTACGTCTTACTTATATTCACACAATCTTTACCGTTTTACTTAATTTATTACAATAAATTGCTTTCATTAAATATAGTTTGGCAAAAAAACTGGAATTGCGGTCAACATACAGTGGAAATTTACGGTTTTTTTGAAAATATATAAACTTATTGTATTTCGGGGATCCAAGTCTAAGTTCGGAACCAACAAGAGCCTTTTTTTTCAAGGAGTGTCCCCAAAACACACACGTGATATAAAACTTAAATATGAATTCCACTTACAAAAGTATTTCTGATAAAATTACAACAGGTACCTACCTAGTTTACATTTACCAGTGTTTTATTTTAATGAAAAAAGAACGGTAATACTAATTTATACTATGTTACGTGCGATACTTATCGTTGAGACTTGTCCTAACCTTAAATACGTTGAGGAATACTTAGAAGATACTAAAACCGACAACAATGAGTTTTATCCACCTTTGAAACTGATGAAGTAACAACAAAATCTCGCGCAATGTTACACTGCCATTTAAATACAAAGGTCAATATACGCCTACACAATGCATCTTCATTTCTAAGGTCAAGTTATAAAAAGAAAAAACATAGCTGGTATTTACATAATTCCACAAAAAGAAACTATGCCACATTTCAAAACTTTAAGCAATCAAATTCAAACATATAACAAAAACATAACCTCGAAATCCATATGTCATTAATGTCAAAAAACATTTTACAAAACACCCGCCAAAATATCAAAAGCATATTACAAATATGACATGTGGTTGTTTGTAGGTAGTGGCAGTCATATCGGTTCCACTTTCACGTAACAGGCGACTAATAGCAGGTACTTAGTTTTACATAACCGATGTGGGTAGTGATTAACGGATGGTCAAAGCAAGAGCGGGTAGCGACTTAATGGCTCGTTTTAGAACTATATTTATTTAAGAAACAGGCTTGTCAAGGTATCAAGGAATATTTGAAACATTTGTAAACTCTATAAATATTTAGATATTTATTTATTGCAGAAGATGGTACGTAAAATTAGTTAACTTAAAATTTTGTACCTGATCTTTTGTTTCTCAAACCTAGTAGGCATAAATATTTAATTAGTTGTCTTAGAGGATTACGGCTATTTATACATTGCCTTATGCGACTTACGTGAATCGCGTTAAAGTAATCACTAACAGAAGAACCAGAACTTAACATACGCAATCTCAAATACCATACCGACGTCCGATTCGTATGTACCCATAGGTACATATAATACCATAACATGCTTTACCACCCATAACTCATTACTCAGCACGTCATAAACTTGTCAGAGCTTGTACGAACACAAAAATCGTGTCACGGTCGACACATAATCGTGTATTGACAGCCGTGACTGTATGTAAATGTGTTAAGCATGACATTTTATACCGATCAACCATAAATTACGTATTGTTGTACAACGCGCTAAATAAAGTAATGAAGTTTATGAACACATACGATATAGCTACCGCTACCAACGGTCCCCAGATTTCAAAACGTCACTTTAATTTTTCTATAGTTGCTCGCATGTACGTGTATTTTTGTATAGAGGCTGCTCTCCTAACAGACATAAAGGTTTAGTATAGTCCAGGCCGTTTTGTGAACCAACTTTCAGCCTACACAAAATACTTTTAGCCACAAAGACAGAGTTTAATGCTAAAACTTTATTTCCTCATAGAGAAACCAAATTTTCTTGCATAATAAAATTGTAATTTGCACACAATGTAAATTACTTAGATTGTAAATATTTGCTATGGTTTTGTGGCATCTGGTATGAGTTTGATTACGTCACTAACCGAGAAAATGGAAGTGCCCCATTAGGCGTAAGTATACTCTGATTCTAACTGACAACTGACAAGTTCTTTATTACTTAGTGACGTAATGTATTTGGTTGGTTATTTGCATTTACGTGATAATAGTTACGATTTAGGGTTCTATTTTATTTAAATATCATTTACTTAAAACGCAACGTAAATTTATATTTAGTTTCGATACGTACACACGTCAAACGAAATTATCTGGTCAATAGTGCGAAGTACCTGTGATTTTAATGCACTATTACTAGAGAAAATGTTTTTGCCACAATAATTACTTGCAAATTTATGAGTGAAGAAACAAGTTTTTTACCATTAATACACACATGTAAACGTTTCATAACATACGTAACGAAATAACACACACGTGTAAATCTGACCAGATATTACGATTGCCGTGTGTTATGTACACACGGAAAACATATGGATTGTACTTATACATACATAAGGCAATGACTCAGACATCTGAAAGATATTATTATTGATAATTACGAATTACCACACTGCTGAAATATCAAAATTTTAGATATAATCCCTATTTATAACAATAGCCAGTGATGTATTCTTAGTTTCACAAAAAAATATAATTGTAGCACACTTATTGCATTAATGGCGGCGTTTAAATTCTTATGCTACAAGGATATTCTTATTGATAGCTCACTATTGCGAGGATAACTATCTAATATTTTTTTTACATTATACTCTGTGCACCGTAGAACAATAAATGAACCATAGGCAATGAATTAAACAAATTAATAAAAACTCAGGCGATTTAAAACAAAAATATAGGTTAATGAAATACGGCACATCAAATTTATACTGAGAAGGTAATAACAAATAATCGCCATTCTGTTGTGTGTCATCAGCACAGTATAGCTAGCAGCATAGCGACAGCGACATTATATGAGCTGCACGTAAATGCTGTGACGCAACACCGTCCAATCAAAATCTGCCACCAAGACTACCCCCCCCCCCCCCCACTCAACCACGTTTGTTGCATGCAACAATTCTTCAGTCAGTAATATTTAAACCAAGAATATTTTTAAAGTTAAAATGAAAAACGTAAAGAATAAGAAAACTATTGACTGACACAAAATTTCCCAGTAGTTCGTAATCGTAGGTACACTAGTATAACACGAACAGTTTATTCTTCATGACTTGATAGTAATTAAACAACTATAAAACAAAAAGAATCACAATCTTTTCCAATGTGTTTCAGAATGTGACATACACATATGAAATTGAGTCAGTGTTACTTAAAATGTATCACTATTCTACTTATCAAGAGCAGTCTGTAGCAAGAGTACCTTGAAAACACCTACGCCAGTTGGAAGGAATGGGTCCCGTGCTGCCGCCTTGTAAACTCGACTATGATCGGCTGGAACGCCTCCACGCCGGTAAAGCCAGCACGTGGAACCTCCAGCGAGAGATCATAGCTCTTTCCTTTTAAACTGGCTACATTTTCACTGTGGGCTAATCACTATCAAGAAGTGCAATATTAAACTAGACAATAAATTACTTAATTATTAACCTTAATAAGAGATTAAAATTAAACTTTATCTAAGTATAGAACACCTGTGTCAGATCAAAATCCTTCAGGTTGACGAGGCCAGTGTGTCCGTTTATCATACAGTAGTATTCGGCGCCAACTATGTAGGATAGTACCATTGCTCCTACAAGACTCCCCAGTGATGTAGACTTGGGAAGTAAGATCCCAGTTGCAATTAGCAGGCCCACATAGGTCAGGTACCTTAAAAGATACTTTAATATTAGTTGTTACGTAAATATCCTTTTACTTCCCCCAGTATGTACATGGATAAATAATAATTTTAAAATGTACAGGATAACATTTAGATTAAATAATATTACAAACGAAATATAGTATGTGAAATACCATGAACCTCCTTAAATAAATAAAAAACTATTAAATAATTGAATAAATTATACAACACTATAACAGCTTGAGGTGTATTAATGTCTCTGAATGCCGATGTTTTAAAAACCTCATTATAAAACTGAACTAACAAGTTTTGGTAAGTTGTATAATTGTTATTTTATTCGATACTTTATTTTTACACTAGCTGACCCGCGCAACTTCGTCTGCGTCTCTCAATAGTAATAAATTTTCTCCGTTTTTAAAACATTCTTCATTGGTGCTCCGCTCCTATTGGTCTTAGCGTGATGATATATAGCCTATAGCCTTCCTCGATAAACGGGCTATCTAACACTGAAAGAATTTTTCCAATCGGACCAGTAGTTCCTGAGATTAGCGCGTTCAAACAAACAAACAAACAAACAAACAAACAAACTCTTCAGCTTTATAATATTAGTATAGATTCATGTTAAATACTAATAATTATGTTCGGTGGATTTCTTTCCACAAGGCAATCATTCGGAAAAGAGTAGTTATAGATTGTCACAGACATAGTATTATTTGTTGTTATTCTTTTTTTTTATACTTTATATTAATTTGAGATACTATTGTTGCAGTGACATGTGTATGCTGATTTATAATTTTTCTTTTTAAAACAAAAAAGCAGATGATTTCAGAATTTGTATATCAATTCTAAATAATCTAAAATCAAAAAAGGATTATAAAAAACATAACTCTATCTCAGTCAATCAACACACAACTAAATATTTCATTTGTACTTAGATAGATATGTGTCCCATAATATTACATAAATAAGTATGGTATGATATATACATAGATACATTAAGATGTTACCCAGCACCAAAAAAAAGTTCATTAATTACCTACTCAAAAGCATGCTTTATCAGGTACCCTTATAACTCCTCGTTTCTGTAAGAAATTGTTTAAATTGTAGTAAAAATTGTAAACTATATGACTCATGGTCTTCTTTCATATACAAACAAAACAAAGTAACATTTTTTCATCCAGGTGTGTAATATATCATGATCACAATAACGCTATCTCAACCTGACGATAAGACCCTATGATAGATGGTTTCTCGACCTGAAGATACCAACGGTTCGGTTCTCAACCTGAAGATACCAACTTGCCTTTTAGACCACATGATATAAAGACTCATAGAGATCGCCATTAAAAAAAACTATTCAAACAATCTTAACCTATTAGAAATATTTATTGAATTGAAACATTTTTTGTGGCTTAATAAAGAAAGATGTTTACCTTGTGGTTGTCAACTTTTCTGATTGATCTTCATCCTCTCTATCTGCTATACAAAACTCTCCTTTCTTTGAATATCCTTCAGCACATTTCCTGCACATATCAGGGCCATCTCCGTGACAACTCTCACAGGACTTATCACAAGTCATACAAGTAAAGGAACCAATGGAATTCATGCAGAATTGATCCTTTGAGCAACGATCCAAATCATCACATTCGTTAATGTCTAAACAACCTTCATCGGAATCAAATACAAATCCTTGTCTACAGGCTACACAGTCTTTATGTGTGCCAGCCCTACAGCCGCCCATACAAGCTTGATGACATTGCGAGCAGAGCATTTTATTTTCATCCTTATAAGATGTGTAGTAACCAGGCAAGCATTCATTACAGTGGTCCCCTGTATAACCGATATCACAGAGGCAAGTTCCGTTTCCTTTCCTTGTCCCATCACCACGACATTTCCCATTACCACTGCATAACTTCTCATGGTCACCAGGGCATGGTGTACAGTATTTTCCATAGTGATGTTGAGGGCAACACACACGTAGATTGTCTATACAAATATATTGAAATAAGTCAGCAGATTCGTCTGGGTTCTGTGCCCACCAGGACTCAATAAAATCTTCTGCTTTTTCAGCCATATGGTGGCATTGGATAGAATGTTTTTTCTCCTCTTTGCATATGCCGTCTTGAATATCGATAAGGCGCATTTCACTACGTTTATAAGACTGTTTTAGCTTCTCCTCCTCCCATGCAGCATCACCACCCTCGTATTTACCCCTCGTTGTCCGCTCCAAGCCATTTTTAAATGATTCTACGAAAATTTTGCATGCTTGACATTCACCCAAATTATTTGATTGAGTTAAAATGTTAGGGTTGATGCCCGGCGACTGGGCAGTGCACATGTAAATAGGTAATATTCCGAATGCAAACACTAGGTTCATTATCTTACTTTCCATATTCCTCATGATGGTGTATTCCTGGAAAGTGGAATATTATATAAATATAATGTTTCGTCTAAAAGTTTCATTTATTATTCTTCGCTTAATGGGTATTGCCCTTTCACATTATCCAAATTGTTGTGATCACTAATATCTACCTAGAAGCCTGGATTTATCTCGAAGCACAGCACTAGTGACTTAAAAAAAACACAAGGCAAAGAAGTTACTATTCCAATAGCTAGTTTTCTTTATTTTTCCACGTTATATTTAAGGCAAAATACTGACGTGTTTCATTCGGACTCGCGGACCGCAAATTTTGACATTAATTCGCTCAGCTGTTACCGTTGACGTAACGCCATCTTGTTACGTTTCGTTCTACGAGATAGTAAATGAAAATGTAAAGGTCAAAAGAACACAACAAAACAAGTTTTAAATAAAAGTGTTCTAATCCGAGGAATTTTCGAATTAAAAAAACGTCCTTTACTTTTACATATTTAATGGAATTTACCCACACAACACCTACATGACATATTACGTTTTACTCACCATAAGTGAAAAGTTAAAACCGTTGACCTTACAGAATCATATTTCGCAAACTTGTTTACTGTTAGTATTTTCGCTAAACTGTTTTGTTTTATAAAAATTATTTGAAAATGCCGTGAGACGAAACCAGTTAGACTTAATAAAATAAATATTGTGGAATAGTATAAGTGACGTAATTCAATATGTCTTAATATACTTGACTCATAAACTAAAAACGAAACAAGGTGTGTATAACTGTCTATTGAATATAACATTGAAGTTCAAACTTATAGTACAGGCGGTACAAGCGGCGGGTACTTATGTGTATGTATGTGCGGCGCCTCGGATCGGTAAGAAAGCATCCTACGACAATTTATAAAATGGCTTTTTTTTGAGTTGCCCTACAATCTCTGCATAATTATAAATCTAGCAGATGCATGATTTACGGCTCTGTCAGAGCCGTAAAAACGCAAGAAAACCGAGCTAATTTTCCGCGAGCGCTCATGGTAGGCAGCAGAGGGCGCATGGCGGTGGAATGAGGCGCTCGATTTTCTTAACGTATTCTGATCGATTTTTTCCGAAGCACCTATTTTAACATTTTTACAAATTGTACGGCAACTTACTGTCATTTTGCGACGAAATAAAAAAAGAAAACTGTATTAAAAGCTATAATTGATGCCCTGATCGAGTCACTTGTGTGACCCGACGAGTGTACGAGTCACTCGTTCAATAACTTGCCACGAACCGATTTTAACCTCCTTTCTAAGGAAAGGCTTATGTCCAGCAGTGGACTATTAAAGGCTGTTGATGATGATGATGAACCGATTTTATCCAAAGCTAATACTATTGCCATAATTATTACGTTGAAAAACCGGTCAGTATTTTTTTTTTGATCTGTTCTTTCTCAGCCTATGCTATTAATCTGTACACAAATGACACATAATAGTAAACGCAACTATAATTTTTTGTACTTTTTTATGGCGTCAATAGCGCGGGCAATTCATACAATCTTAGACGTCTTGATTCTTAACCGCAACATATATATACATACATAGACCTTTAATATCGATGTTCACAATAAAAGAAAACCAAATGATAAGGTAGAAGAGGTGATCAAGATGTAAAATGATCGATGGTTGACCTGATAGGAATGCTATGTTCAATATCCTTGTAGTATGCGAATAATGAATAATAGTATATACGAGTACTTGAAAGGATCATCATTTATTTGCTAGCGCATATTCGCATTCGATTGTTAGCGTTATCTCTAACCAAAACTTTAATTCCGTGTTTCTTTAGCAATAAATAGCGTGTAAATCAAATACTTTTACATTTTTTGTGCTACTTTATAAAAATCACTTACATTTTACTTTTGGTGACATGTAAAATGCGTGTTTTTAATCTGGGCGCCCTGCCAATACGAGCCAAGCGAAGCGGCATTATTTAAGTACCTAACCTTTTATCAAAGTGCTACGTCGTTTTTCTGAAACCACATAATTCGGGCTTGGAGTTTGCCAGATAAAATTATTAAAGATATAAAAGTTTCAATTGCAACGCTTTTATAATTTAGATTTTATTGACATCTAAAAAAACCCTGAGTTTGTCACTGATGATTATCAAAATTCTTACGGTACTTCGTGAAGTCCTAGAAAACTGAAATTTGGTATGTAAGTTAGTATTAGTACACAACAAAACAATCAAAAACTTAGAACTTTTAACCTCCTTATAGTAAGTGACTCCTTATAATTCGTTCCTTAAAAACACTCCACAAAAAGAAAGAAAAACCAACAAAATGAAAAATCTTGTCATAAGCGACTCACAAAAAGAAGTGAAATCCAACCAAAAACATTTTCATGTAAAATGTTGCCAAAACGAGACCCTATGCACTGTCAAAAAGTTATCAGATCTCATGTAGGGCCAAGATTGTATCTCTACACGTCCCAACTTTACAAACTTTACACCTTAGTCAAAATTTTTATTAAACCGAACTAGGCATTAAGAAAATTAAATTAGAATCAGAAACTAGCAAGCACTGATTTTATATGGTAATTTCAAGTCAATGTTTGTTGCTACAAAAATTGTCTAACGTTACTTGAGTGATTTCTTATTTAAAAAGAGTTATTCTAATAAAAATGACAAAAAATCTATTTAGATCTCAAGGGAGTAACATTTGAATGTTTATCGTCGAATACGCGAAGATGAAAATCGATACTTTTTAATTACAAAATTTTAAGTTCTTTACAGGGATTCCCAGTACTACGGTGTGGCGTGTAATAGGCATATCGAATGATGGTGTATTACCTAAGCTTGGTGAAAGGAAGAGTAGGAAAAAAAAAGATAAATAACTTGGACAGTTTTTTGATATTATCAGGAATAAAGTTAAGGAATTCTATATTGTACTATTTTTGTTATATAATTGTTGAATAATGTGCTATCATGCATAAACTTTGACTACGCATATCCACCCATATAATTATATAGAACCACGAACAGACAGTAAGTTTTTTATATATATATATAATATTAATACATACTGTATTATAGTTGTTTTTGAACTGAAATAGATCAGAAAACATCTTTAAATAATACACAATTTATCGAAAATTTCACACTTTTATAATAAAAAAAAACAATCTCAAACACGTTCAGTTCTATTTATATTGCAAACTACGAATTGATTTTCCTATTTACTATAAGATTATCTACACCTAGGTACACAACTCACCTCGTGACTAAAGTGATAATTTTTTTCAATGTCATCATATTCATACTCTACCCATCTATTAGAAACCAGTCAATATTAAAACAACAACAATCCAGAAAGACAAAGTATAATGTTTAACAACACGTAGGTATACATAATTACACCGGCAATGATACTTGCATAATAACTTCCTGCTTTCACCGTAACAAAGGCCAGTTCTCTTGCGCGATGGTAAACTAGAAACTTACACCTGCAGCTAAGTAAGTGTTTAGCTTCTTTGGCGTACTTTAGCATGGAAAATTGACAAGAAAAAGTAAACAAACAGTCGGTCACAAAGACATCATTTATACACTGCAGCAAAACAGTAACATTGTTGTTAAAGTCCAATTCTATCTAGTTAGTAACAGGTATCCCATGACTTCTTTATTATTTTATAAATGCCTAATTTTCGGCAGAATACCAAATGTTTTTTTAGACTGACAAAATTTTGTTCCATAAATTGGGCATACTTTTTGTAAAAACCTTGCTTTAACCTACTTTGCTTTTGAAAAAAACAGTGCAATAAGTACATATCTACATATTTTATAATCTGTACCAAAGTAGATCAGGTATACATATATGAACATTAGTTATTTTCTTATGGCACCCACTGCTTAACATTTTATTAATAGCTAATTGAATGAAATAAACATTTTACTATTCCTGTTCAAGTATAGATACTGGAATTAATAAAGGAACTTAATTAGCTGGAATCGAAATCGTGCGGTATTAAATAATTAACAGTTAGATGTTAATTAATTCTTTCGTTGCTGTTCTTGAGTGAGTGAGGTTATCGCCTCCCCCTTCTAAGTCTAAGGGGGGAGCCTAATTCTAATCTTCTGTCTTTTGAACAAAAATAAACAGAAACATTCTGGACATAAACTTTGACACAGAATACAAATAAATAGTACCTGTACAAAATAGCTAACCTAGTCGTAGTATCGGTGAAGTAATGTAGGTCATAAACCCCGACTAAAGATATTGTTGTGAAAGGTATTTAAACTTCTCTCGACTTTAACAGTAGAGTTAAGCCTCTGAGATAAATTTTATGACAAAAATATTAATGCTTAAAAAAAGATCGCTACTTATTAAGAACTTTCGCAACTGATGAGTTTTTGGAAAAGGAAATAAATTAAAAATAATACATGATACGTTACACGCATTCTCATATCGCAAGTGACAGTAAAGTTAGTGTGAAGCTAATAATTACAATAAGGTTTGTATTTAAGTGTAACACTACTGCTACTACTATTACTATACAACATTTAATATACAGCTTAAGATACAATCGAAAATAACGCTTAACGGTTCTTAGAGCAAAATACAGTTACGGCACCTGACTGCATTTTAGCAATAGGGTATATTATTCAATGCAATATCGTATAACTACACTTTGAAATAAATAGGACTGAACTATAAATAATAAATTGAGCATCAGAACTTACTGCAAAATGCAATTACGTGGTGTTAGATCTAGTCAACGTTAAGTACCGATATTAATTAAATGAACCCTTAGATAAATATCACACACAGTTAGTCCTCCAAGTGTTCTGATACAACTCCGTCAGTAACGACTTTGACCCTGTACAATGAAGTTGTTTACGTAAGAAACGAGACCAACTAATGTTGATAACAATCATCGTCTCCATTTATTCCTAAATGTCCCCAATGTTACCTGGTTGTAGACAGGCTAAAGAACATACTATAACGGAGCTTCATATAACTGTATCTAACGAATTCACTTAGGAATTTGATATACTCG